TGATGAGGACATAATCACCCTAATTAAAAGCTAATAACGACGAGTTAATTGCCTTTAAAGACTAACTGAGGCCGGACGGGATTTATCTGCCTCCTTCCTCACTGCACAGGCTGATATGTGGGGACTAATTACTTGAGTCAAATCTTACAGAAAACTAATCATCCCTGTGCTGTTGGCCGAGGAATGAGGTGGTGGTCTGGACGGCTGCAAGATCTCCAGGTCCACACAGAGAGGAAGGCTGGGAGAGGCTGACACCAGACTCAGGGGACCCCTGACCACGCCCCCAGCCCCTCACTCACTGAGGGATTCTAGGCGGGGCTCCACCCTGACCATGCCCCCTAGGCTTCCCACATCCCTGTCCTCAGCTCTAATTGAAAACAAATACTCCTTCCAGAACATTCCTATATCTTTGTTTATCATCTACTTGGGCTAATTGTGTGTAACTTCTCCAAAGACAAAATGGTAAGTTTGTTAAGGAGCATCTCCAGGCAGCCTATCCTCAGGGTAAGGTAAAGGAGGGCCTTTCTGAGAATCTTTTGTTTTTTCAAGACAGGGTTTCTTGGTGTAATCCTGGCTGTCCTGGAACTCCCTCTGTAGCCCAGGCTGGCCTCGAACTCACAGAGATCCGCTTGCCTCTGCCTCCCACGTGCTGGAATTAAAGGGGTGTGCCACCACCGCCTGGCTTACAGTGTCATTTTCTTGTTTTAACATCCACAGAATCATACGGCTTTCCTTGTGATTCTCAAACTGTCCACTGTGTCAAAAGTGACTAACACCCCCCACCCAGCCCTCCTGGAACCAACTTCCTGTCTGTGGATCCCTGCCCTGGACACTTCCTGTCATGGAGTCTACAGTGTGGCTTTTGTGTCTGGGTCTCTCTCCAGCACCTGGTCCCTCCACACTGGCCAGTGTCAGGGACTTTATCTTCTTTATGGCTGTATGATATTCCAGTGCCACACATACCTTTATGTTCTCCCCAGACATTTCGGTAGTTTTTGCTTTTGTGTCAGGCTGACCTTGAACTGATGATCCTCATGCCTCAACCATGTTGTGACGTGTCTCCCACATCTGCCTGAGGTTTGGCTTTGGAGGACAGAGGGGCAGCGTGGGGTGGTGGAGGGCTGTGAGAAGCCCTGTGAGGGGATAGGGGACAGGCAAGGTGAGACTGTCCTAGCTGTGGCCTGTCTTCCTGCCTGCTTCCGGGTCCAGGCCACAGGCTGAACACAGCCAGGCCTAGTGAAGAGATTTCGTTATCGGAACAGTTCCCTCTCCAGGCATGGCTCTGTGTTCCCCACACCTACCTTTTCCTTCTGGTTTGTAAAGTGACCTCGACAGAGGACAGAGGATGATGGTGAGAATCAGAAAGGAACTCACTGTCCACAGGTGCCACACTCACCTGGAAAAATAAGGCTTAATCTTGGAATAAAAAGATGGGGAGACAAGCAGGGTCAGTAAGCCGGCCCCTGGCTCTCTTCACTGCTGTACAATCATGCATCTATTTCCAGAGCAGGGGCCCTTGGGACCAAATAAAGCCACTGTCACTTGAAGATGCATTTAGCCAGGGGCGATTGCACACGCTGATAATCCCCCAACTCAAGGAGGCTGAGGCAGGAGGGTCGTGAGTTCAAGACCAACCTGGTCTCAATAGGGAATGACATAAGGCCATTGATGAAGGGGACAAAGTTGCTTAGCCCAGGGTATGAAATGCTTGGTGCATGCTCAGGTGCCGTTACTCGAGGTTAGGACACCCTCACTGAGCATCTTGCTTTGGAAGATGCATGTCTGGTATCATCTGTGCACATCCCATAGTATTTCCAGCCTCTGTATGAGGATCTCAGAAGTCCAGCCTCAAATCAGAGGGGAGTATTACACAGCCATGAAAGAGACCTAGGGAGTGAGGGTTCTGGGGGGCCCTGAGCCTTCCCAGCCCCCAGGTCAGATGCTGAAGCGGGAACTACAGCTGCTGAAAGACACTGGATTGTGAAAAACTGCTGAACTGGGTCAGCCAGTGTACGGTAAAGATGTTTTCACATCTTTATGGAGCCCAGGGACAGTGCTAAGATGGGGCCGAGGGTATGTTTATGTTTCTACAGAAGGAACGAGAAGTTGTGGATACCATCAAAATGGATAAACATCAAGCATGAGCAAGAGGAGCTCCTGGATGCTTTGGTGGCTGAGATGCTTCTGGGAAAGATACAGCGGGCCTTTGAGGGAGACAGCAGATCCTTCCACCTGGGCACGGCTTAAGCATGTATGCGACAAAGGGGAGGCGATAATTCGAACAACTCAGAATCCTCGGGATGCTACAGCGTTGTTCCGTGCCGTGGTGACTGTGCGGTAACGGGGACCTGACCATACTCCTGGGTCTGTGTCCCTAACCCTCCACTAACTTAGCAGTAAGTAGGAAGATGCACATGTTCCTGTGATGGTTAATGAATCTTCTTGGCTACCTGGTCCTTATGACAAACAAGATCCTGCTCAGCTTACAGAGGAGAGAGAGTAAAGAAATTAGGAATTACACTGTGGGGGTGCAAGGAATTCCTATTTGTATAGGAAATGGAAGTCAATGTGGAAATATAACCTTTCAAGTGTGGCTATCTATAGTAAATACTACCCAAGATTATCATAATAAGTTTTATATTCTTCATGCATCTGGTTTTAGAAGACAGGAGATTAATGCTACTAGTTCCACAAATCTACTGTTCTGAGAGATGTAGGCTTCCAACAAGGAATCTGACTGGATACATGGGCAACCATGTAAAGGTGAGAAACCACGGATGCTAATTAGTATCTCCCATGCGGATGTCATTGATTGTAGCCCTTATGGCTCCCCTCAAGGAAAACATTCTCACTCATTATTAAGATGACACAAACATAGTTCAATGCAACTATAGAAATTAGCTCTGCTGTTAATGAACCTGTTCAATGGCATGGAGTTGGAATGTCAAGTCCTCTCCTACAATTTGGCAATTCAGTTCACTAACTTGAAGGAATTAGCAAGTACCTTCCACCTTCTTAAAGGGTGGGAAGGAGAGTTAAACATTAAGGATGAAACTTTGTCATTTAGACTAAATCAAAGCCATCCTTTTATAGAATGTATACCATTACCGTTTTAGCTACTGAAGGGGCCTGTACAATGGCACCCTAATAATTACAGCATCACTTGTGAACACTGTACCCTTCATACCTGTGTTAATTCTAGTATGTCTTTAGATATAACCTCTGAAAGTTTTGACATTCTTAGAGCAAGGCCAGCAGTCTGGATGCCAGTGAAGTCGTCAAGGCCATGGCAAGACTCACCTGTGATGACCACAGTGCAGAAGCTCACTGAAAGAATATTATGAAGAACACATTGAATGCTTAGACTGATTATTGCAGTAGTTATGGGCATTGTTGCATTGGCTGCTACTGCTACAGCAGCTGGATTGGCCCTTCAAAAAGAAAGCCAAACTGCTGAGTTCATTAGAGACTGGCACAAGCAATCTCCAGAACTTTGGACTCAACAAAATAAAACAGTGAGATAGTTGATGGAATAGCTGATGTGAGACAAACTGTTATATGTTGGGGGAACAGCTGGAAATATGGAAGAAGCAGATAAAATTAAAATGCAATTGGAATGTTACAGCCTATTGCATTACACCTTTAAAGTTCCATGATAGCAAGCTTGACTGGAAAAAGTTTAAGATGCATTTGATGGGTCATCCTAATTCTTCTCAAATGACTTATGATTTACAGCAAGAAATTAAGAAAACTTTTACAAAAAGGTTCCCTGGTAATGACAGGAACGGGCATTACGGAAAGCCTTGCAGATACGTTAGCCTCCCTTAACCCTGTGCCTCACTTGAACAGAGTTCTTGTTTTAGCAAGTACTGCTCTTGCTCTACCTGTAGTAACCGTATTGGCTTTAAAATGTGTTTTGCCTTACTTACATAAGAGTGTAAAACAGAAAAAAGTGTATTTGCTGTAAAGTTACATAATCTCTGATATAATTAATTGTTGCATATTAAAAAGGGGGATCCTGCAGATCTCTGTAGCCGGTTAGATTCCGGAGTGGTAGCACCTAGCTTTGAGCTGCCTTTGGTGGCTGCTACATTGTGTCCCGTACTCTCTGTTTGAAGTATGGAAATTTCATCTGAGAGTTTCCTAGGCGTTCAAAGCCTATGCAAAACTTGGTTGGGGAACGTGGTCTGTATTGAGAATTTGCACTTGGCATGGTCTCTTTGGGGGGCTTGGGTATGAGGTGTTGGTGTGTGGAAAGTTACTTGCTGAAGGTGTGAACTGTGCGACAACAAAGAGCCCTTTGCTGAGGGACAGGGTCAGTCCTCCAGTGTGCTCCCCCTGCAGCTGGAAAAGGCTAAAATTCACCCTTAGAGTGCCTCTGTGCCTTCTTCCCATGACCCACGCCTGAACCCACACCCGAACCCACACCCGATATACAAGACACTTCCACCTCAATCTGTCCAGAGGGACGCACTCAAGGCTCAGGTGGCCTGTGAAGGGAAAACTCAGAGACGCCTTCTTAGAGGGCTTTAGTACTGGGCTTTGAAGATTGGGTAGGAGTTGTTTAGGCTCCATAGCCTGTTGGTCAGATTGCAGAACATTCCAGAAGGCCAGGCTTAAGCTGGCTCCTCCCTCGGTTGTTTCCTCCACTTCCAAGGTCGGGTCACTAAGGCAGACTTGTCCCAATCACTCTGCCTTCTTCAGTGTCTTCCCGACTCTTCCCAGCCCCTCAACAGGCCACGTCACTGGCTGGTGAGCCCCAGGAACACGTCTGTCTCCACCTCCCCGGAGCCGGCATGGACAGGCATCTGCAACCATGCCTGGCTTTTTATGTGGGTGCTGGGATTCGAACTCAGGTGCTTTATCTGCTAAGCTGTTTCCTCAGTCACTGTGTGACCTCAGAGGACAAACACTTCTTTCTGGGCCCAGTGGTCGCCACACCCCCCACCCCGGCCTGCTCCTCCCCCATGGGTGGTATCAAGGACCAGTCCACACTGAGGTCGGACGAATCTTCCTTTAATACAAAGTCGGTTTATCTACATACAGGGCAGCGCCCACTGCTTCTGCCCAAAAAACGGCGCAGACAGAGCTGACCTGCTCTGCACTTGCTCCAGGGAGTCAGATGTCCCCAAGTGTCCTGCAGTCCCAGGGACCGGGTCCTCCACGCAGGGCACGGAGGCCACAAGTGGATGAGGACGCTCCTGGTGGCCGGGGCTGGACCAGTGTCCTCGGTGGCCTGTCCCTGCAGTCTGGCCCGAGTGCCCCCCAACTTCACCCTCCATATCTGATATGTCTGAAGATTGGTTTAAAAAAAAAAAAAACCCAAAAACTAAAAGAAGAGCTAAGAGTGTGGCTCTCACACAGGGACGAGGGACATGTCACGGGCTCAGTCCCACACTCGCACGTAACTGCCACATGACAAGCTGACTGTGAAAAAATAGGCCTCCCTCGGAGGCGCACATGATGATCTTGTTTGTTTTTCAAAGTTTTGACCGGCACGATTTTGTTTCTTCTTAAAAAAATGAGGAAAAAAAAATATACACTATTAAAAAAAATGAAAGAAAGAAAATGTTGCCGATAGGCCGGCGGGGAGCGCTGGCGCAGAGCTCGGCCCTGGGGAGCAGAGGCTGCACCCCTCTTGGCTCTCCACCCCGCCCCCACCCTGGAACCTCATCTGGAATCAGAAGGGAGCGAGGAGTGTGCCGAGTTCGGAAGGCAGCAGCTGGGCCCCTGTGACGCCGGGCTCCTCGTGCCCTGCGGGGCCTGGGTCACATCTGGACACGTGGCGCAGGGTCTGGCGCAGGGTCTGGCGTCGGGCAGGGCCCATGGCTTATGTTGCATAATGATCAAAGCTGCCCAGGTATTCCAGCGCCGCCTGGAAGCAGAACTGGTACTCGTCCTGCAGGGCAGAGGGGAAACTGAGGCACCTGCTCCAGGGACTGAGGGTTCCCAAGGCGGTAGCGAGTCCTCCCCCAGGGCCTGCAGCCTGGTCCTTCCCTGGCCTCTGTTGTGGAATATTATTTTAACTCTGAAAGTGTGTTACATTTGTTTCTGCGGCCTTTAACTATGTAAAGATCCAGTGTTGCTGTGTCACCTTGCCTGCCTAAGGCACCTGATTGGTCCAATAAAAAGCTGAACGGCCAATAGCTAAGCGGCAGAGGGAGAGGTGAGGCTGGCGGGCAGAGAATAATATGTAAGAGGAAGAATCTGGACTAGAGAGGAGAGAAGAGGAAGAGACGGACATGTGTGCCCAGGGCCTGGAGCCTGAGGCGACCAGCAGGCAGCCAGACTGAGAAGTGGTAAAAAGAAAGAAAGAGAGAGAGAGAGAGAGAGAGAGAGAGAGAGAGAGAGAGAGAGAGAGAGAAAGAGAGAGAAAGAGAGAGAAAGAGAGAAAGAAAAAGGTAAAAAGCCTGAGGCAAAACGAAGATGAAGAGAAACAGGTTACGTTGTAAGCGCCAGTGGGACAAGCCTAAGCTAAGGCTGAGCATTCATAATTAACAATGTCTCCGTGTCAAGATTCGGGGGCTGGTTGGTGGCCCCCCCATAAAAAGCCTGGTATAGGCCTCAGTTTCCCCATCTGTACACAAGTATCACGAGATTCAAGACCTGTGATCCAGAGGCAGACACAGCCTACAGGGCTGTGGAGCTGGGGTGAGGGGATCAAGAGGGAAACTGAGGCTCAGCATGCAGGGGCATCTGCGCACACTCCCATACCTCCGTCTGCACCATGGCGGGCCTCTGGGTCCGAAGCACCTTCACCGTCTGGAAAATGTCCACCACACCCTCGTAGCGCATCCGTTCCAGCACGATGCTCAGGGTGATGAACACGCCTGTCCTGCCCACTCCGGCGCTGCAGGGGGAGGGGTGCGGCCACACGGGGTCACACGGGGTCACACGGGGTCACACGGGGTCACACGGGCTCGGCGTCTCCCCACGCCCGCCCCTCCCTCTGCGGCGCTCACCTGCAGTGCACCGAGATGGGCCCGTCCTGGCCGAACTGCTCCTTGGTTTTATGCACTTGGCCGATGAAGTCGATGAAGCCTTCGCCTGACTTGGGGGCGCCCTGCTCTGGCCAGTCCGTGAACTGGAACTGCCGAACGGTCCGGGACTGGCCATCCTGGGGCGGGGACGGACAGGACAGCCCGGTCACAAACCCCTTCCGCCATCTAATGGCGTCTCCTACACGGCGAGAGCCTTTGCCATCCGACATCCAAGAAGCCACCTTCCGTGGACGCTGGCCGCCCACACGGCTGACTATGGCACAACCCCAAAGCTGCCGGGGTCACACCCGGTCATCACCAAAACCCACCACAGCTCCCAGCGGTGCCCAGCTGCCCCCGCCTCCTGGCGACCTCTCCTGAACATGCCTGGCCTCGTCCACCTCACCCCACGTCACTCGGGGGCTCTTCTTTCACCAAGTGTCCGTCCCCAGGCACTCAGGGCTCAGCCTGGCTGGCACCACCCCAGGCCCCGGCCTCCAGGCTCTCCCCCTGCCTCCCCATCTTATGATGTCTCTCACTGGGCCCGGGGCTGGTCGCTGGCCCGCACGCCCCTTCACCCCTCCCCCCGCCTCAGGGGCCACGGAGCTGGACTGTCCACCCAAGTCATCACAGACTTTACCCCCCAGCCGCCCCACCACTCACCCGGGCATCCGTGACCTTGAACTCTCGGAGAATGTACTGCGGCATGTTGTACTCTGCCATGGGGTCCACCACGAAGTACTGGTAGCGGGCGGAGCGCTCAGCTGGCCAGTACTGGTGGCATTTCTCCTGTGGGGTGGAGGGCGGGGTCAGTGTCCTGGCCCTGCGCGTGACCCCCCACCCCCCACCCCGGGGGGCCCAGCGCGCTCACCCGGCCCATCTCTCGGAGCTTGGTGAGCATGACGACTATGGTGGAGTTGTTCTCCCACAGTGCCCGCCAGAAGTCCTCCGTGGTCTCCGCCAGCGGCCCCTGAGTGGCGATGTAGGCTTTCTGCTGCCTGGGGGGGGAGTGTGGGGTCAGACACACACCCTCCGTCCACTCTCCAAAGCCATCAGACACGCTCAGTCGGGCCGTACAGAGTCCTCTCACCCCTGCCAGGACATCGTCCTCCCAGGAACCAGTTATAGGGTGCCAGGGACCAGACTGGGGCATCTGCAGGAGCAGCTCTAACCACTGAACCGCCTCTCAGTCCCAGGCCAGACTTTAATTTTAGCTTGGTGTCACTGAGGGGGCTCTGGGCTCTAACTCCTGCAATGACAAGGCCAGGCGTGGGACCACGGAGGAGTCTCAGTGGGCAGAGAGCTTGCTGTGCCTGTGAGGCCCCGAGTTCAATCCCCGGTGCCGGGGAGGTGGTGACGGGGCAGCCCTGGGGGCCGCTGCTTAGCCATGGCGTCTGGGTGAGAACACCCCACAGGCTCAGGTCCCCACCAGGCGGAACTGCTGGGGAAGGGTCAGGAGGGGTCACTGCGGGGGGTTTGAGGGTTCAGAGGCCCAGGTCTCTCCCTCTCTCTGCCTCCAATTTGCAGGTAAGATGTGAGCTGCTCTTCAGTGCCTGCCTGCCATGATGGCCCCCGCCTGACCCCCCAAACCCTGAGCCCCAGACTTTCTTCTGTAAGTCGCCCTGGCGTCTCATCGGGCAGCACAGGCTGAGGGGGGGCCCGGAAGGCGGGGCCAGTGCACCTGTAGCCATCGATGAAGCTGGCGTTGATGTAGTCCGAGCCCTCAACACCCCGGATGGGCTGCAGGCAGACGCGCGAGCTCTCGTAGGGCAGGATGTTCACCAGGCGGTTCTTGAACTTGTTGCAAGGCAGGCTGGCGGTGATGAAGCGGGAGGTGTGCGCCTTGGAGCTGGCGAGCCTCTGTGGGTGAGGGGTGGGCTGGTCAGGATGAAGGGGGGCAGGCACAGGGAGAGCCCCCCCCGTTGTGGGAGTCAGTCCTCCCGTCCGCCCGTGGGTCCTGGGCTCACACACGGGTTGCCAGGCTTGGGCTGCGTGTGCTCACCTTGAACTCCAGCTCCATGCCCGTGACGTGCTCGCCGGGCTCCACCTGGGCCAGCTTCTGGATGTAGGTGTAGAGGCTGCGCGCGGGGACCTCGGTGTTGCCACAGCCCACCGCCTCCAGCAGGGCCTCGTGGATGAAGCTGTACTGATCCTCCGTCTGCACCATGTAGTTCCGCTGCGAGCGCATGAGCGTCACGTGTCCGTACACGTCCACCGTCTTCTCAGTCTTAATTCGCTCCAGCATGGCATCGATGACAATGAAGCAGCCGGTGCGGCCCACGCCCGCGCTGTGGGGTCAGACACTACAGTCAGGACACGGGGCCAGGGGACAGGCCGGGCCGGGGACAGACGGGGCAGCGCTGTGGCACCTGCAGTGGACCACGATGGGACCAGCGTCGGGCGGGTTGCAGGTCTTGACTCTGCGCAGGAATGCCAGGAAGGGTGTGGGGTATTCGGGCACCCCATGGTCCGGCCACGCCGTGAACTGGAAATGGCGCACCTCACGCTTCTCGCTTGAGCCATTCTGGGGACCAGAGGGACAGGGGCTGTCACTGTGGGTTGAATGCACTCCTCAGTCCATGCTGCCCTGCTTTAGCGGCTTACGGGGCCCTGTCACCCACTGTGCCCACGGCACTGACCACAGCCTGGGGACCACAGTGCTCACTCAGGAGTCACCCACCCTGCCCCCGGGCCTGCAGCTCCCCTGAGCGTGGTCCTCCCATCCCCCCTCCCTCAGAGTCAAGGCAAGTCCGTGTCCTCCCTGCAGCTCGGCCCTGCCTGGCCCTCCTGCCCTCCACATTCCTCCAGTGCTGGGCCATCCTCGATCAGGCCTGGGATGCCCAGGCCTCCTACGGCCCCTCCCACGACACCACGGCTAATCCTTCCTGTGCTCCAACGGTCACAGCCGTCACGCGGTGAAGGACACTTGTGTGCTTGGCCCTCCTGTGGTGGGCCGCTCAGGTCAGCACGCTTACACGTCCTGCCACGTGGTCACTCACCCCGTGGCAGGGGGCGTCATGGGCCCCAACACCCCCAACAAACACGACGTAGACCGCACCCAGTCAGAACAACCGGACCCAACAGATTCGACTACACACCAAGAGCAGCCATCATTGAAGATGTGCACAGACAGACAGATGACCGTGTCCCTCCCCGGCGGGACAGGGCTCCTGGGTGACAGACCCCAGTCAGTTCAGGAGCAGGCGGGACCACATTAGAGAGACACGGCTAAGGGCGGCCGGCACGGCAGACCCTACACGCGGCGGCCAGGGCATGCGGCAGGAGGGCACACGGCGGCCAGGGATCTGGGCTGGCCTTGTCCCTGTGGCTGTGGCTGCTCACACTGGGGCTGTCCACGGCTCACGTGGGCTTACGGGAGTGCTGGCCGTCTGGGACCCACTCACTTTCTGTGGAACGCCTCCCCTCCCCAGGCCACACCTTGTGCAGGGAAAATGTCCTGATGCAGAAAGTGGCCAGCTCCATGGTGTCCAGCAGGGTGACCTGGATGAAGCCGTAAGTCTCCGTGCCGCGGTTAGGCCAATACTGGTCACATTTGATCTGCGTCAAGATGAGCAGGGGTGAGTTTAGGGAGTCGGCCGGTGCCTCGGGAGCCGCGGGGCAGGCGCGGGGCCAGGCTGCCTGTGCTGCCGCCTCACCCGCGATTTCTCCTCCAGCCGCGTCATCATGACAACGGTGGCTGACCGCTGCTCCCACACCATCCTCCAGAAGTCCCCAAAGGTCTCGGGCAGGGGCCCCTGTGTGGCGATGTACGCGTTCTGCCGACGGTAGCCGTCCACATAGTTGGCGTTGATGTAATCACTACCCACGATGCCTGCAGGGGGCAGGGTGCCGGGGACAGCTTTGTGGGGGCCGCCCCCGCCCCCCGGCCTCTCCACACCCAGTGCACACTGTGGCCGCGGTGGGATGGCCTCTGTGCCCTGCTCCGCTGCCCGCGGCCACATGGGCTGCAGCTCTCCACGGGGCCCACTGTGGAGCCAGGCGCTCCGGTTTCCCACACATCTGTCGCTATGGCAACTCCTCCCCCAAACCGTGACAGCCCAGAGCAGACGCAGGCAGGTGCCCCTACCCTCGAGGGGCTGCAGGATGACTCGGGAGTGGTCGTAGGCTATGACGTTAGCGTAGCGGTTCTTCGGTTTGTTGGCCTCCAGGTTTGAATGTTCCCAGGTGAACTGCTGCCCGGGGTCGATGGACTACGGGGAAGGGCAGGCTCAGGTATGGCGGGTCGGGGTGCTGGGGCACCAGGTCAGGCGAGGCCCTGTAGTGACCCCAGTTTACCTCGTACTCCTGTGAGAGCTTCAGACTGTCATTGGCTTTGAGTCTCTCCGTGTGCTCTGCCATGTCTGCGATGGGGATGGGCGGGTGGCTGAGCATGCCTGTTGGGAGATGAGTGGGTGGTGGGATCAGTGGGCGCAGGCCCGGAGGGCGCAGGCACTTGGGGCTACAGGACAGGTGGGCAAGCCTGGGGTGGTGTCCCCACTGCCCAGCTAGAGGATGAGGCCTGTGATGTCCTGGTTCCCGCACTGCCCGGGGATCCAAGGTCCCAATGTCTTGTGACAGAGACAGAGAAGTGGATGCAGCTGGTACAGTTCAGAAACAGGGGCCTGGGGCGCTGCCCTTCCCAAGACCAGAGGGCAAGGACGTCCTCTGGGTGGGCACAGTGCGTGCTACGTGTGGTGTGATGGGCTGTTCCCGTTTCCACGTGTCCTGAAGGTGGCTGGGGTCTCACGTCCTGGTGTGGAGATCCACTGGACTCCAATCGGCATCCCAGGCCCCGCCAACAGTGTTGGCCCGGAGACTGCAGGGTGGTGGGCACCCCCAGCTGATCTAAGACCCTGAGAGGCCTCTCAACCCCTTCATGGCTGCCTGTCATCCAGCTGGGCGCAGTCACACCAGCCATCCCAGGGCAGGGGAACCAGGTCCTGCCCTGTGAGGTGCCAAGGCCAGGCAGCAGCGGGCACAGAGCAGACAGACACCAGGACAGGGAAAGCAAAGGGAAACATGTGAGGAAGTGGGGACAGGGATGAGGACCCAAGAGACACCCCGGCTGAGGCCCAAGCCTGCGAGACAGCAGACAACAAATTCACCATGGGGAGGAGGCGACCATGGCAGCAGCTGCCTGTGGGGACTCACGGCGACAAGTGGCCAGGGCTCTTCTTTAGCTCTGAACCTGAGATCTCAAAAACTCAGGCTCATCTGGCTGTGTACCCCTCCCTCACACCGACCTGGCCGGGGGTCCCTATGGAGCAGGGACCTGGGAGACGGAAGATGCCCAGGGGTAGAGGACACATGGACCACACCAGGAGCTTTCGGGGAGATGAGTTATCTGTTAAATGCTGGGCATTCTCACTAGAGTGTGAATGTCTGCTATGAGCTAGTTCAGACCTGGACCTTGGGGTGACATGAGACTGGGCAATCGGGAGAACACAGCTGTCAGCTGGACTCGAACTCAAAACCCTCGCGGGCTGGAGCTAGCGATGGGGTGGTGGGTGGAGCGAGAGCGAGAGCGAGAGCGAGAGCGAGAGAGACAAAGAGAGAGACAGAGAGAGAGAGAGAGAGAGAGAGAGAGAGAGAGAGAGAGAGAGAGAGCAGCAGCAGCAGCAGAGGGACGCAGAGGTCCCAGGGTGCACTGCAGGGCAGCGGCGTCAGTTGGGCAGGAGGCCGCCAGCTCAGAGAGAAGAAGCTGGAGGGCGTTTGTGGGCCTGGCAAGTCTGCAGCCACAGAGGAAGCTCCGGCACGGCCGGTGTGCAGACCCCTCCCAAGGCCGGCGTGGAAGATGGCCAGGATGACCCTCGAAACCCTACCCCGAGGGCCATTACGGGGTTCAAAGCCGCTGCCCTCTGCCTGATCCGTTTTGTCTTGACTTTTCAGGCTGCTACAGTACTGGCCTCACTTGCGATCATGACCTAGCTTGTTCAGGGGGTACAGGAGGCCCCGGCACAGCACCCCCACCCCAGCTGCCTCTGGCCCCAGGGTCAGCACACACCTGGTGTCTGGAAGTTGATGCGCCTCATTTCCACAGGGTCCTTGGGGTGATGGGGGGCGAGGTCAGCGTTGTTTAGCAAGCATTTGGTGCGGGGCTCGGAGTCCTTGCGTTTACTTTGAGGAGAGCGAGAGGGACAGATGGCCCAGGGTCAACACAGTGTGCCCGCGCCCAGTGTGCCCGCGCCCAGTGTGCCCGCGCCCAGTGTGCCCGCGCCCAGTGTGCCCGCGCCCAGTGTGCCCGCGTACAGTGTGCCCGCGTACAGTGTGCACACTCAGCGATGTGTGACCCAGGCAAGGAGGGGGCCATTTACACTGAACACTAATTTTATGGAGCCGTGATCCCAAACGGAGCCTCAATCTTGTAGCCAAGCCCTAAATCCAGACGGAGGCTCAATCCCAGATGGACCCTGATTCTAGCTGGGGCCTAAATCAGGACTGAGCCCTGGTCCCAGGCCTTGCTATGAGCCCAGCTCCACCCACTACCATCCTCCTCAGTCCTCACCTGTCGGGTTTGCTGTCCACAGGCGGGTGCAGGGGAGAGGAGAGGAGAGGAGAGGAGAGGAGAAGAGAGAACATCAGGTGAGGCTGTGCGGGTCAGGCAGCGCCCCCCCGCTGTGACTGCGGTGGCTTCGTGGCCCTGCCGACCCCCAGTCCCTGGCAAGTGGGGCTTGCTGTTCTCGTCTGGACCCCACCACGGCTTTTTTTAAGCGGCTACACACCCCACATGGCCACGCCCCTCCTGCTGCCGGCCCCCCATCCCCCACCTCTGCCGCAGGGCTCACTTCTTGTACAGCAGGATGGCGATCACGATGCAGATGATGAAGACCACAGCCAGCACGGGCCCGATCACCCAGATGAGCCCTTCCTCGCCATCCACGATGGGCTGGGGGTCTGGGTTGTCCAGCTGGAAGGGGTCTGAGAAAGGACTGGCCGCAAACGTCTGCAGGGGAGTGGCTGCCATCAGTGCTGGCCACAAACTGACCCCTGACCCCTGACCCCCAGCTGGTCTGCCGCCTCCTGCTCCCGCGCTCTCTGGAGCACGCGGATGATGGGACATTTTCTGCTCTGCCCCACTGTCCTTCCCTCCCCAGGACGAGCCCTCGGGGTCCCTGCCTCAAGTCCCTCCCTCTGAGGAGGTCTCTGCTCGGCCTCCGGGATCAGCGGCCAACCTCACTGGGAGGTCCCCTTGTCCACCAGCTCAGGGGGGCACCGGGCCAAGCCCAGGGCCTCTGTGCCTCCACCCCCACATCTACTTCAGGCTGGTGGCGAGGCCTGACTGGCGTGCGGGCGGCGAAGGACGACTCACGGGCTCGTTCTTCTGCAGCACAGCGAGCACGAAGAGGACGTAGCGGTGGCCTGGCTCCAAGCCGCGGTTGTCAAAGCCGCCATACTGTTTCTGGTTCCCAGGATGGAAGACAGCGGGCAGGATGGAGAAGCGGGCGGCGATGTAGGGCCGGGGCACCTCCAGCTGGCGGGAGTGGCGCAGGCTGCGCCTCTGCAGCCGCGAGATGTCCTGGATGAGCTGTGGAGACAGTGGCATGGTGGCCGGGGCTCCTGGGGGCACCACAGCCTGGGGGTGCGGAGTCGGGTGCTGGCCTTACCTCCTCCAGGTCCATGTCCTCGGGACTACCCAGCAGGACTGGGAACTGGCCGCCCCGAGACTTGCGCAGTGGGACCATGACGATGAAGTAGTTCCTGTGGAGAGAGCCTCGATGGCACCTGTCCCCGCCCACACAGCACCACAACTCCACCCCCCACTTCCTGGCTACACGCCTTCCGCTAATTCATGGTGTTCTAGCCCTTCAACCCCTGTGTGTCCCTCAAAGCCCAGGTTTCAGCGCCCATACACTCTTGCACCCCCTTTCCCTGCCCCAGGCAGCACTCTGGTTCCTCTCTGGGGACTAATTAGTGTCCCCCCCCACCCCGCGCCTGGAAGCACAGGATCAAATCCTCGCAGAGGGTCTAAGGTGCCCAGTGAAAAGTCAGGCTTTGTGGGGACCGTCCATGAGGTGGGCTCGCTGACCCTCATCATCTCAGTGAGGAAACGGGGGTAGGGACGGTGCACGGGCCTGACTCAGTCACACAGTGGGCTGACAGCTAAGGGGAGCTCATGACGGAAAGGGTGGGCGTACTGGACGGTCACAGGGCTCTGGCCATCAGGCAGGTAGACCACAATGAAGCCGTCGTTGTCGGGCTTCGGGGCGACACTCGGCTTGCCGCTGAGCATGTTGAAGGCGGTCCTGGCGGTGACGGTCTGCTGCAGGTCGCCCAGGCTGCTGCCGCGGTTGGTGAGCACGAAGTTATAGAAGGTGTGCGGCTTGAGGTGTGTGATCAGCTTCTTGGTGGTGCGGCCGTCCACGTCCAGTGTGAGCCCGTTGTACTGGATCTGTGGGCGGGGCTGGCTCAGCGAGGGGTGGCGCTGGGAGCCTGCTGACCCCAGCAGAGCCCCGACCTCAGAATGCTCAGGCTGCTCCTCCTCAGGACTGATCTTGACTGTGCCCCAGTCCTAGGCTCAACTTCACGTCCAACCTAAGCCTTGATCCCTGGTCCACCCAACGTTGACCGACCATCTTTGGTCTCAGACCTGATGGGACCAGACTCTTCCTTGACCCCAAACTGCGCCTCAATCTCAAACTAGACGGTGATTCCTGACTGGTCCTAGACCGAGCGTCACTGAATCCCGACCTTGGTTGCCCTTGACTGCTGAAGCCAGCCGGAGCCTGGATCTCTCCGTGGCCCCGCGTGGCTGCGGTACCTTATAGGGCGTGGGCGAGTTGTAGTTGTCAGGAAATTCCCAGCTCAGCAGCACGGATGTCTTCATGATCATCTTCACCTTGAAGTTCTTGGGGGAGACTGCAGGCGGCGGCGGCAAGCGGAGAAGAGAGAAAAGAGAGGCCCGGTGAGCGCCAGCGAGGGCTGAGGGGCGCGTGGGGCGGCCCCTGTCGTCCCTGCGGTCCGCTGTGCCCTCGGCCTTCCTGCCTGGCCCGGCCCTGCCTGCCCTGTCCCCAGTGCCTGCTGCTGCTGCTGCAGAGATGGTGCTGCTGCTGCTGTTGCTGCTGCGGAGAGAAGCGGGAGGGGCGTGGCCGCCGAGCCGCATCCCACCTGTGCAGACCGGAGCCTCCGGCGCCTGGGCTGAGTCCGCGGAGGCCGAGACTTACCTGCGGGGAGGAGCGGGCCGGGACCGGGGCGGCGCCTACCTGGGTCCCGCGCGAGCCTGTAGCGCAGCGGGGGTGAGAAGGGGCCGGGGCCGCGGCGCGTGTGCGCGCGCACACGCA